ACCTGTAGCTCTTCTAGAGTTACTGCCGGTCCTAAGCCCGGGTAAATGAGGAGGGTTGGGAATAAAGTCGGCAACCCGGTCCCGTAGAAAAGACCTTGCTAAAAAACTACCAACCAGATTAAACAAATTAGACCATTTAAACTCTGCCCTTCGAGTTGAAGGAAGAATTATGACGCCACGTGATGAAAGCCGAGATTCTTCGGAAGTCACGAGGCCAACGCCCCTTCTAACAACCAGAGCAACAATTAATATAGGTACATGGAATTTCCGGACAAAGTGGGAGATCGGAAGAACTAGTCAAATAACAAAGAAAATGAGGAGATAAAAATTGGCGGTTCTCGAAATCAGCGGAACCCACTGAATCAAAGCTGGACAGAAAAAAGTAGATTCAGGAGAGATCCTACTTTACTCTATTTATGAAGAAAATGCTCTGCACATACTGTTATTCAGATGCTGTCCAAAGAAGCATGAAATGTACTTATTGAGTGGAAATCTCATGAACCCAGGATCATCAAAGCATCCTTCGAAACAAAGATGGGAATCACGATTAATGTTATTCAATGTTATGCACTCACCAATGATAACAATGACAACATTAAAGATCAATTCTATGAGGGGCCCCAATCAATCATAGCGAAGTACCCAGGAAAAACTGACCATCCTGATGGGGGACCTAAACACCAAAGTCGGGATGAACGACACTGGATATGAAAATATCATGGGATGGCATGGACTTGGAGAAAGAAACGAAAATGGTGAGAGTTTTGCAAATCTATGTGCATTCAACAAAATAGTTATACGTAGCACAATATTCCCACACAAACGCATACACAAAGCTACATGGATCTCACCGGACCACACCACGGAGAACCAGATAGATCATATTTATGTCAGTAAAACATTCGGAAGGGCAATGGAAGACGTGAGAACCAGGACAGGAGGTGAAATAGCTTCGGATCACTACCTGGTGGTTGCCAAGATGAAACTGAAGCTAAAGAAGCACTGGACAACTGGGTAAATACCATTACAAAGGTTCAATAGAGCCTTCCTTCGAGATACTGGCAAATTCAACGAATTCAGAACAGCTCTCAACAACAGGTTACAGGCCTTACAAAACCTACTCAAAGAAGAAGAAACTACTATGGAGGACAACTGGAAAGGGATCAAAGAATCACTAATTTCAAAGTTTCAGGAGGTTCTGGGCAGCAAAAAGCACCATCATAAGGGACGGATCTCCATCGAAATCCTGAACAAGATTAAAGAAAGAAAGGACAAGACAACTATTAACAACAGTTGAATAAGAACAGAGAAAGTCAAGGTACAAGCTGAATACACTGAAGCAAAAAAGCAAGTGAAAAGGAACATTAGATCTGACAAGCAGAAATATGTCGAAGACCTAGCAACGACAGTGTGAAAAGGTGCAAGAGGAAATATGAGACAACTATACGACACGGGGAAGAAACTAGTGGGGAGATATAGTAAACCAAAGAGACCGGTCAAGTACAAAGGAAAGCCAATCACTGAAATTCAAGGACAGAGGAAATCTTGAATAGACCAGCTCCATCGAATCCACCGGACACCGAAGCAGCGCCTACAGACCTCCCTCTAGGTGTCACTACATCAACGGTCGAAAAAGTCAGGATGACCATCAGACAAATCAAGAGCGGAAAAGCAACAGGACCTGACAATTTACCAGCTGAAGCACTGAAGTCAGACATAGAATTAAATGAAAACATGCTCCACGCTTTATCCAAGAAGATTTGGGAGGAGGAACAAATGCCGACAGATTGGAAAAGGGACACCTCATCAAGGTACCAAAGAAATATCTGAGTAAATGAAACAACTAGAGAGGAATCACACTATTATCGGTACTAGGAAAAGTTTTCAACAGAGCGTTGGTAAACCGGATGAAAAACTCTATATACGCCCAACTTCCAGATAATCAGGTTAAATTCCGTAAAGATCGGTCGTACACAGACCAAATTGCACCATTACGCATCGTTTTTGAGAAATCAATGGAGCACGACTCGTCACTAAACATTAACATCCTTGACTGTGAGAAAGTTTGACAGTGTGGAAAGCAGAATATTATGGAAACCTCAATACTATAGTGTACCTGAAATCGTCAATATTATACGGAATTCATACGACGGACTACAGTGCAAAGGCGTGCATGGAGGACAGCTGACAAATACATTCCAAGTAGGGATCGCGGTCAGACAAGGCTGTTTACTCTCCATTTCTCTTTATTCTAGTGACTGACTGGATTATGAAGACCTCGACATCGGAGGGGAAACAAGGAATACAATGGACAGCTCGGAATCAACTAGAATATATGGAACTTCACAGATGATCTGACCTTTCTATTTCACACACGAACGAATGCAGGTGAAGACAGCCAATGTGGCAGAAACCTTTACACCAGTAGGACTCAACATACACAAGGGAAAAATCAATATCCTCAAACACAACACAGAGAACACCAACCCAACCACACTCGACAGAGAAGCTCTAGAAGATGTTGAATCTTTCACATGCCTGGACAGCATCATCGATTAACGAGGATCTAATGCAGACGTAAAGCCGAGGATTGGTAAAGCAAGAACAGCATCCTTACAGTTGAATATATGGAACTCAAAACAACTATCAACTAACATCAAAGACACAATCTTCAATGCAAACGTCAAGACAGTTTTACTGTATGGAGCTAAAACTTGGAGAACTACTACAGCCATCATCAAAAAGGTACAAGTGTTTATAAACAATTGTCCACACAAAATACTCAATGTCCGTTGACCTGATACCATCAGTAACAGCCTACTGTGGTAGAGAACAAATCAGCTTCCGGGTGAAGAGATTAGGAAGATGTTGGGAGTAGATAGAATATACAATATGGAAATCATTAAACTGCATCACGAAGCAAGCGCCAACTTGGAATCTTGAAAGTAAACGGAGAAGAGGAAGGCCAAAGGACAAATTGAGACGGGAATCGGAAGCAGACACAAGGACTAATAGCAACTGAGAGTCCGATGCTGAATGCTAGTGCGAGACCTATGCTCCTCCATGAGAGGGAACATGCGTAAGTTGTCTGAATGAACAAAACTCAAGCAATTCATAGTTAACTACTACACCTTGGTGTTAAGCATTTGCCCATGATATCGTTAATGTCATTTCCTTTAAAAATTATATAGCTCAAAATCTTTTCATTTTTATTTATGATTGATTATTCATGATAAGCTCTGTAACACATACTATGAAACGAAACTATAATCTTCAGATGAGTTTCGCCAACTTAGCCCCTCATCAGAGGCATTATTCACTGAGATATATTTAAGAAAACCACTAGGGTATACCTTCTGGACTTTTTAAGCAAATTTCCTAACCTAGTTTTTTTGTCACAGTGAAATGAAACTAAAAAGCATATCTCGACACATGTGTATAAACTGTCAATAGGCTGTTTTGCATAATTTTTGGTCTGGCTATTCGCATCTGAGTAAAGCTAATCCATTTGCTTATTGCTGAAGCGTAACAACACATTTCACAATTTTACATCAATGAAGTGCTCAAAAAGCGAACGATAACAAAAGTAACTAATTTTCTAATCACAGCCTTACGTACTCAGCTTTGAACAAAGCTTTTGATATGAGAGCTCACCACACTACCGGGCTACAAACAATGAAGCGATGAGCTCGTGGATTCCTAAGAGTTAAGTTCTTTGATCACAAACCCAATATTCCCCATACGCAAGCGTGAGACTAAGTGTCTAATATATAAACCCATATATGGTACACTATTATTCCCATCGAAGCCTCTAAGTCGTGGATATCCTACCTCTTTATTATATTATGAACAAGTTCAATGAAAAAATCGGCACTAACTAACATTAAATGTCATAATCTTAAACCATTTAATATGAATGCCGCACTTGAAAGTCCACTATCTGAACTGCTTTATAATACTTAGTTTCTCTATTTGAAAGTTGTATGGTAATGAAGGACTGAAAGTTCCTAAAATTGGTTTTAGTGGCATTTCCATTGGGTCAGTCTTTGAAATTTCCAAGTAATTTAAAATTAGGACTCCACTAAGGTTTTTGCTTTGTTAACAACAAAGAGGAATACTACGCGGTGTACAGTTAACAAACTTAATTATCTGTTCTCCATATATTAAAATTTACCCATGATACCTTTAAAAACTGTTTACCCAGACTTATGTTGATCAGAGTTTCACCGACTATTGGCTATTCAAATATGATATTTATTAGATGAAAAACACCACTGAACGGTTGTCCAGATTTTACTGCATTTTGGTTTGTTCTGAAGCCAGTTTTTGAAAACTATCTGTGAACTATTAAGTGGAAATCTCGCTCAGATCGGTAAAATCAAGTACTGTGAGATAGGCGACGCTGGACTCGAGGGCAATGATGTTATTAAAAGCGATTTGTTTTAATGTTTTCCCCTTTTATTAAATTCTGCAGCATTCCGAAGGTTTACAAGTTTCCCTGATAGAGGTACACATATTTGTGACAGTTAAACACTGTAATATTGAATCACGTGTACACCACTCCATCTTAATCAAACTATTTACACTTTGACTATCTAAATATCCCAAATATCCTACGACGAACTTCAACAAGTGAAACAAAACTCTTATGAACAAATATATACATTCAATCTGACAGACGTCGTTCATCAGTATTCGGGATTCGTCGAGAAAAACGAGATCATCGCTTACCAGTAGATCACGCTTACACGCCATAAGATTCAGTATAAAGGATGTCAGGTCGTTGGCTGTCACGTGTCTTAACAGTTACTGGACAAATTTCCCAGCGAAGGTTCTGGACAGTCAACACTACTCAACAAACGATAACGATTAGTATTACAGTCGGTTGGTATGTAGATTATTCAACTACCTATCCGTAACAGATTCATCAAGAAAAATCCGAACCAACGGTTTACTTTCTTACAAATTTACCCTTCTGTTTTATCTGAACAAAGCGAGTATGATATTGCATATAAATAAATTATTATTCAAACCGTCTTCAGAAAATCAATAAAATCTAGTGATGAGGCTAGCATAATTCACCTCGACAGAATGTCAGAAAAATATCTCAGCCCTTTTTTACAGGGAGCAACATGTAACGCAAAAATAACTAAACAGGTAGACCTTTAGAAATCCCTTTTACTGTCCACAAACTACCACGTAAGAAAGCGCTCAAGCCAATTTTACCTCCAGGTATAGTGGTAATAATTTGCCATACAACTAAACAAATTTGGGAGATCAAGGCCAAAGCTGAAAATACGGCACTCTGCCACACAACCACAGCATATAAGCCACCAAGTAAGCTGACTAAATAACTTAAAGTAAAAAACAGGCGCTCAGTGCTAAATAAGCTTCTAATGTGATTCCATGGGCCCCAAAGAAATGAAAAACTCCCAATTAATAAAATACTACCAAGTGTATGCAACAGTACGTATTTACGCATACCAAAAGGTGTTGCAATAACTGGCAAGAAAAGCATCGCCAAACAAAGACATAACGATGCTGAAAGAAGACATAAGAAAAACCCCATAAGACGCTGCTGTCGAGACATGCCTTTAAGCATTAAAGGATCAGCATCAGCTTGATAAAACCAAGACGTAAGACGACCTTGTGCCTCGATTTCAGTGGGAGTTATAGATTCCTTAGTAGAGTTCTGTGATCCATCTGTATTATTCGACTTCAAAAAACTGAGTAATGGTCCAGGTAACAAAGCAGAATCTTCTGAAGAATTTTGTGAATTTGCTATTTTGGAGTACAACGCAGAGTAAATACGATTGGACATTTGACATGAAATCACCTTAGGTTAGATCCGGAAACGTAAATTACTACAAGTATGGTAAAATACAATTAGAAAAAAGATAATAATAACAATAATGATAATACTATAAAAGTAAATTTCAATAGTAATTAGAATGAAAACAATAACTGCATAATTTTTCCTTCCAGGTTTATCCTTCAAGAACAACTCTAACGTAAAAAGCATTTACATAGAAAAACCAAAACAAACACTAGAATTGCAAATTATCATAACCAACCCCTTAACATCTGGGATTTTTGCTTTAGACCCATCGAATCAAAAATGCCACTTGCTATTTTGATTTTATTTCTCATCTGAACCCTTTAACATTGTTGCTGGCTAGAAATATGTTTTATACCCTACAAAATCATGATTGTTAACTGTTATGAATCGCATGAAACAAATGATCAGGCAATTAGGAAAATCACCCATATTCATAAATAAGCAAATTGAAAGGTGAATATGTTAAAATTATATTTGAAATAATCTCAGCGATTGAAATTTAAGTAATTCCAACGTTTCATCCACCTAACTCGCCTGGATTATTTTAAATATCATTTTCACATATAATGACTTCTCTATTCTCGGAGCCCAATTTCTGTCAGACTATTCGTTCTAATCTTGATGAATATTCGTATAAAAGACGGACAATTTACCTGTGTTGAAATTTAGGGGGACTGAGTAACAACTACTTTTAGAAATTAATCAATCCTAAGGATATGTGTGCCACACAAAAAGTGACTGAATGGTTGAAATTGATAATCTGGTTTCAGTTTGACAGATAGCTCTGATAGATTAGTAGCTTGAAACTTTTATATCTAGGCAGTAAGTCTCCTGCTAACCATGTCAAACAAGAAAGCAGACATCTTGGAGAATTTCTCGTTCATACACACCAAACTCTCCCAAGGAATGTCGCCATTTTCCATTTCAGTTCACCTATGAGTAATTAATAATATGTGAGTTAACTCAATGAGTCAAATCTTCGAATCACCCTCAATGTAAATATTTTTTGGTCACACATATGTTCTTTAAACCCACACTAAACTTCCGACTTGCATCGAGTAAGTTGAGGCCAACTAGATGTAGCAAGTAAACGCTGATATACACGAGTATTCCGTTTGAGCTAATAGGCTTTCTTCATATATGTACGTAAACCTCGCACTAACTTCTTAATCACACTTGAAGACAACTATTCTGTTAAGATGTTTACACTACACTATCCTCCCGATATAAATACTACTTACGGCCGTTCATGTAAAAATTGTTATTAAATTATTATCATTTAAACCACTGCTTTGATCATTGTCGAGTGTGCATATAATTTGGTTGACCTGGAGAATTAAATGCAGACTTCCTAAATGTACAGTATACAAGTGTTACACTTCGCGCAAAATCAATTACTCCAACTGTTTATACTGCCGTAAAGTAAACAATACGATGTGAACTTTTGAGAAAAGTATACATCCTGAAGCAGGTGAAAATTTTAATTTCGAGATATTTCACCTCAATGGGGAAATTAAGGATTAAATACTCATTATTTACCCATTAATGAGGAAAAACGGAGACACTTAGACGTATCTTGTTTATATTAACACTGAGCTCTCTTAGACATTTTCCCACGTTCCACAAAAGTTCCCCTTTTTCGCTTGGGAAAGTCATTTTCATTACGAGCTTAAATCTTCCCTAACGGTCCGTCCTTACCTCGACTTATATAGATACAGGTTTATGTATGTACGTTCGTTTATGAAGACATAAGGAATACTATTTTAATACATATTACGACAGTTGAACTAAAACGAACCAACAACCTTGGACAACGCCAGAAATGACCTTGACTTCAAATAGTTCAAATGGTTGTGGACGGAATAGAAGAAGCTTTCTCTTAACAGGCTTCCGTGTCTAGTACCTGGGGATAACCAAATCCTCCAGGCAGGAACCTAGGTATGTTAACAATGAAGGAGGAAAAAGAAATTGGTCGATCGTAGTGAGATACTATCCTTAGTCCTTAAGAATAGATCAAGTTGACTCTTAAAGGACTCCAGGGAAGTCTCTTGGACTAGCTCGGCCGGCAGCGAATTCCAGCGTTTGACAACTCTTAAGGAGTAGAAGTTGTGTCTACAGTTTTTGGGTGTTATCCCTTAGGTTAGTGTTGGAACAAAGCTTAAGTAAGTGTTTGAGAGGATGTCCAGAAGTGTTAAGGATACTGTGGGCCATCAGAAGGTCACCTCTAAGACGTCTATACTCTAGTGGGTAAAAGTTAAGCGATTGGAGGCACTATGTTTCCGTACTCTAAATGGGGACGGATGAAACTATTGAAGATTGTGTGGAAAGTTCGTCCGTCAAACTGTCCAAAAATGCGCTTCAACGTTACCAGTGCAAGGTTTGCTCGGAAGGCATTTTTGTCACAGTTAGCGTAAGACTTCAAATCATGGGGCATCAGGACTCCTAAATCTTTTTCGACTTGGGATACTACTAGAGAAGAGTTTCCTAAGTTGTAACTGTAGTTTGCGACATATCGCAGATGGACTACTTTACACTTTGAAGTGTTAAAGGTAAGTCCGTTATCGTCTGCCCTACTTTGAAGTCGAGTCAGATCCTCCTGAAGTGCCTGTATATCGTCTTGGTTGCGTATCTCTCCCCAAAGTTTCACGTCGTCGGCAAAAAGTAATAAGTCTGACGTTACCTGTTGAGGAAGATCATTTATGTAGATCAAGAAGAGAAGAGGCCCTAGTACTGAGCCCTGGGGGACCCCACTAGGACATTCCATAGCTTGAGACAAAGTGAAATTAACCCTAACCTTAAAGTGTCGATTTTTTAGGTATGAAGTGAGCCAATCGATTAGAGGTGGGCTGATACCCAATCGTCTGAGCTTATTGATAAGATATGTATGGTTAACCTTATCAAAAGCTTTTGAGAAATCAAGGTAAATGATATCAACCTTCCCCTTGTGATCAAGGATGCTTGTACATCTGTCCACCGCAGTCAACAGGTTGGTAATACAAGAGTAACCCTCCCTGAAACCGTGCTGTTGGGGTGAGAAGAAAGTTAAGGACAGTAAATAGTCTTTTATACCATCACATATCAGGGACTCCACGAGTTTTGAAGGTATTGAGAGAAGAGCCACCGGTCGGTAACTTGAACGTTCATTGCGTCGATGTCCTTTGAAAATTGGTGTGATGTGAGCCAACTTCCAATTTTCCGGTAGTTTTCCTCGACTTAGCGAGTGTGAGAACATCACTCTAAGCGGTGTTGCCAAGATTGAGGCTGCTTCCCTCAGTATGGCAGAATGGACCATGTCCGGGCCAGAAGAAGTGTCTATTCATAAGTGCTGCAGTTTTCGGAACACCAAGTCAGCGCTCAGGTTCACTTCGGAAAGTCCTTTGGAGGTGCAATGAAGCTGTCATCAGTATAGTTGATGTGGGCGGTTGAAATGTCCGAGAGTATTGTTCAGCCAAAAGGTTAGCGGCGTCGCCATCGTTGTTGGTCGGGCCGTTGAGACCTAGCAGTTGGGAAACCCCAGTTCCGGCTTGACGAAGAAAGGCTGCATAACGGAATAAGCTTTTAGGATTGGAGGCAAATTTGTCCATAAGCTTTGTCTGGTACTGACGACTATCTTCTCTCATAGCCTTCGTGCATATGTTCCTTATATGTTGATATTGCCTGTACGTTCCGTCGTTATCAGTTCGTTTGTATTCCGCCCAACAGTGCCTTTTGCGGCTTAGCAGGCGAAGGGTACAGTTCTTGATTATTGTAGGTGGCTTGCAGCTTTTGGGAACCGTTTGAAGAACTGAATGGTTTGTAGCACATAAGAGCGTGTGCGGTAAGAAGTCCCAATGACCGTCCACATCGAGTTGAGGGTGAACATCCCAAACCACCTGTTGTAGATAGTCGTGTAGAGCTGGCACATTTAACCGTTTAAAATTCCAACGCAAGTTATTGGTGGGGTATCTTAGCTTAGGTTTGCTGACAGAACTGAAGGCTATGACGGCATGATCGCTTTTTCCCAGGGGAGCCAGGATTGAGAGGTTGTCAACTAGAAATTCTTCCTTTGTGAATACACAGTCTAAGCGCAATGGTTTCTGACTGTTTCTCTTTTTCCCTGTTTAATAGACTTTATTAATTGTTTATTGTGTATACTAACAAGGCTGATTTGTGTTTTAGAATCAGATCACATTTATCAAGCCAAATAGATTACGTTTTCTGACTTTGGCCAGGCTAAGTCTCTGTGTTCGATAGTCTAGAGAACAATTTAAACTGAATCTGTATAAAATTGCTTTTTAAGCCGTGAGCCGTACAATTCGTATTTTAGCATTCGCATGTGGTCCAATGCTCAAGTGGGAGAAACCTTTATGTGTATATTTTGATCATCACGTAACAAAAACACCTCATGAAAATATGATCAACTAATTCATTGATCCATTCTTGTCGTGTTGCTGCTGCCAATCAGTTGTCGTCCTCTCAATTCTTAAGACTGGTCAGAACCCCCTAAGGTCTTAAGCTGCCATCCTTCTTGTGGAGATTTTCCGGAAGCTGTGAATTATCATCAGGACGAACTATTACGAAAGGTACCGGTCGCGAAAGGTCATTCATATAAGTCAAAGGGAGGGAATATCTTAATCCTGAACCCAGAGAGACCACATTAAGACGTTTAATATCCTGAGAAAATAATTACCATACTCTAACTAGCTAGTCACTGAAAAAAGTCAAACCGATTAATTATTTGTAGCCGAATATCTAGGTGCTTGAGTCTGGAGATTAGAACACTCCAACTGACCCAATCAAACGTTTCCCAAAAGGTCCATTGTACTCTGCTGTGTATAAATTTGCTACGGATAATGGAATATAGTGCTTCCAAAGTTTTGCCAGTCTGAAGATATGATTGTGTTAAACCTAAGAATGTTTTTATGTTGTAAGAACCCTTTCTGAAGTCACTGAATAGCAATAAATAATGCAGTGTTAGGTAGTAATTCCCAGTGAGTGTTTTTATCAGGCTGAGGACAAGCCTTCCACCTTACCTGTTGAAGGTCGCATTCAAATGTTTAAAACTCCTATCCATGTGATCGGTGGAGTAACTTAATTCAGTTTGACAGATAAAACAGAACCATATGGTCGAATGATCAACCTGCTTAAAGGATGAATAGGCCAACTAGGCCTTACTACTGTGTGGACTTGGGTTGCCAGTGTATAAGCGGCTGAAACTTCCTGCTGAAAATTCATGAACTTTAAAGATTTTTTAAAGCCTCACATAATCTTGCAGAAAACTCAATTACATAAGGTCTCTCGCGTGAGTGCTCCTCGTCTCTTTCAACGATTATGTAAAGTTGGGAACTCTTAGCTGAAACAGTAGCAAATTCCGAAATAACGTGGCATTTTACATAGCATGTGAAATGTTAAAGGATTAATATCGGCTTCACAATCCAAATGAATAGGAAGTTTCTCAGAACCAACTTACATGTTTTAATGTGGTCGGGTTCCCTCCTGGATGCTTCTTAAGTGTAGGTAATTATCAAAAGTTTCCACAAAGCACCAGATATACATGCAAAGACCCAGTTGAAGATTGATAAAATATCATTATCGGATCACGTGATGAGCGATTTCCGGGAGTTAAGGATGCAGAACGCTAAACCCTCAGTCATTATACAACGTAACAGAATTGAAAGCAGTTGTGATGGGAATACTTAATTATCCAAATCAGTCAGACCTAAATGGATAGTATCAGAGAGTTGCAATATGCAGTCATCAGATATCTAAGGTTTGAGAACCCAAGTTGATTAATAAAGATTCCCTTTCTGTTTAATGTATTACTCAGCACTCTTCGACACAACAGTCGTCAACAGCCACAAAAAAATTATAGACGAACAACCAACGGAATTTCAAAGTGACAAAACAGAAATCAATCGCTTGTGCACTAGCTCCTGTGTTGCTGTCTCTTATTTTATCTGGAAAGTTTTATTCATCAGAGTGACTGCTTCGTTAGTTGAAGAAGGAAGACAAATCTAGGCATATTGTTTCAAAAGAAAAGGGGTATCTAATGGCATCAAATGATTTGTGTTTCTTAATACAGGTGAAGTAAACTGGAATTGATCCGAGTGAACTCGATGACAAGTCGATGTGGAGGTCTATAACTAATTAACATGTGACAGATTTCTGCTATTTTATCCACAGATATAAAGTTAACTGATAACTTCTTAGCAACCTGTGGTGTTCGTAAAATTCTTGATCATCTATTGAAACGTCGTCAAACTTACATCCTAATAACTAGATGACCATAAACAAACAGCTAGAAATGGATTAGAGCTGTGTACATTAGTTATTACTTCTTGGTATTCCCTAATATTACAGCACTCTCAGCAGCCCTATTCTGTTCCTTGAAAATTCAACTTAGTGCTTTACTGAAGACTCAATTAATAATTTTCAATTATATAGAACATTTTTCTTTTATGTTTCACTTTCTAACAGAATGTAATTAAAGTGTACGATTACACTAACTGAAAGCTTGCTTTGTGTAAGTTTATATTCCATTTCCAGTCATCTGAAAATTTTTAACTTAGAAAATTTGTTTATTCTTATGAACCAACTTTCGTAACTCACGTTTGAAAATAGCGTTCCTGATGTCTGGACGTGTTGGTATGTTGTCTGTCTAATCTATGCCTACATTGAGTGCGTTATGTTTTTTTGTTCTTATTTCTACCTTTTAAATAGAGGTGTTTAGGTGATTTCTAATGTTTTCTGCTAATAATGTTCCCAAATTAAAGATGGTACAAAATAACCTAATGTATTCGAGTACATCAAGCTATTATGTACCAACACTGGGTATTAATACCCGTTTTTAGTGTTCTGTTTCGCGTGTCTGAACTTAACTAAGTTTGGA